TTACCTCACCAGTTGCTGTTCTAAGCTTTACTGTTGCATGCGATAATTTAAGATGGTCTCGTACTACTTCTGGCCGTGCAATAGTTCTTGTTGCACCTCTATCTACCAAAAACGATCTACATCTGGGCTCGTGTCTCTTCGGCATCGTGTTACGAACTACTTTTCGTACCATTTCTTCCAGACGTTCATCGGTTGGTTCGTCGCCTTCTTCAATGGTTCTTACTCGATGGCTCCGTGAAGTTTGACTAGCTGTTTCATGTTCTAAAGCAATAGCGAGCGCTTCATCTAGAACTTTCGGTCTTGCCAGTAGTAAAGCTTTCTGCAATTCACTTTCTTTTAACCCATTGACGAAGGTATCTACAGCGATTTCTTCCAAAATGTTATCTGGTACCTCAGGATAAGCCAACCGCACTATACGAGCAACATCTGCTTCAAACTCTTGCAACTTTTCACTTGCTTGTTAAACTCTACTTCTGAGTTGCGCCTTGTAGACTTGTTGTAGATGGGTATCTCCGTATCGTTTGTCTAGTCGAGTAAACAAGGTCTGGTACATTTTTCTTGACCCTTAGGAATCGATCTTAGGATATCTGCAGCATCACCTCGTAAATCAGCAGTCAAGGAAATAGCCTTTTCTTGTTCTGTCCAATGATTGGCTGTCGCAATAGCTTCAAATTGTCTAAGGTATATGGAAACAAGAGGACTTTCCATCAAATGGTGGCAATTTGAATCTCATATGATGTGTCATTTCGTCTCTAGGTGATTCTTCTTTCACTACCGGTTCTAAGGCTACTGTGTTAACTGGTGGTAGCATTTTTGTGTTAGTTATCATGCTCTCTAACTATTTGATCTTTTCTTCTACGTCTTCTATCTTGTCGTTTACATTTTTCTGTATCTTATCAAATGTTTAAGAAACTTCTTCAAATTTTTCATTGTTCTTTTTAGAAGTTTCTTCCATCATTTGAGAAACTTTTTATCATTTTAATTTCTCGTCGAATCTTCGAGATACATTTTCGAATTTCTCATCGAATGTTTTGGAAACGTTCTCTAATTTATCATCTTTTTTTTTATAAGTCTCCTCAATCATTTGCGAGACGTTCTCAAATTTCTCGTCGAATCTTCTAGACAGATTTTCGAATTTATTATCATTTTTTTTAAGATTCCTCAATCATTTGAGAGACGTTTTCAAATTTCTCATTCATTTTTGTTAAAACTGTTTCTTCTGCTGATTGAAACTGCAATGTATCTGGGTCATCTCCATTCTTATTAAGAACATTCTTTAGTCGTTCTTGGAGGATCTTCTTGGACCCGCTGCAATCTTCATCGCGTTCTTCTAGTTGCTCACGCAACTGTTTTACTGAAAGTTGTACTAGCAGCATCTTTGGTCGGGCACACACGTACTTTTTAAATGTTCTTTCGTACAACGATCACTACCGAACTATATCCACTACACGGATATTCCCGACGAACAATACTTTTCAAAAGTTCAAAAGTCTTTTTCAAAAGTCACTGTTGACTATTTTCAAATCTCACACCGGACACCAACTGTACCGTTTTTAAATAAAACGAGCGGTTCGAATTTATATAAATATATTTATTTATAACTTTACAGTTCGGTATTCTCTTATCAACTAAACTACCTCCTAAGATCGTTACATATATATACCTAAGTTACTTGGTTCTAGAAAGTTCCCACCCCTAATTTGCGCACGTGACCGATTGTTCTCTTGCCTTCGAGAGTTCTGGTGATGATTCTCGAAGCGGTTTCGAGATGCAACCGTTACATGTTACAATCCGAAAGCATGTTCGTAACAATATATATATATATATATATATATATATATATATATATATATATATATTATATATATATACATATATCTATATATATATATATATATATATATATATATACATATATAATATATATATATAATAAATCATTTTAAATCACTAACTTCTTGATTGACTTTTTAAAAAAGATTTATTTCACAATTAAACGTTACACAATTAAAAGTTACACGTTTTCTTTTTCTTTTAAGTTTTCTGTACTTATTTGATCTTCTATTTGCTGTCTGTATACATTTGCAATGTTGGGATGTTTTAGTTTATTAATGTCGATTTTTCTCTTCTTCTCTCGATCTCCTTTTTTAAATTTGATATTATCTCTTTAAATCGTACTTTAACTAAATAGGGATCACTATATATGTTAGCTCCTCCAAAAGACCTAACAATTTCGAATATATTTTTATTTAATTGTAACCTCGGAAACCTTTTTTGGATGCTACTAGACAGGCCACCAATGGAGACGCTGCGGACGGCAGCCAGATAGTTGGTGGAGGGCGAGTCGTGGGTTCGAAACTAGCTTGTGAAACCGATAATGGGTCCAACGTACCAAATATACAAAGATAGGACAGGGTAGATATATTAGAAAAGATACAGAAATAAACAAAAAGATAGATGGATAAAATTACTACAGATAAGATAAAATAGAAACAGGGCGCCGCTTAATTTTTTGGGGTTTAAGGAGAAAATTAAGACAAACCTTAGAAAAGAAAAGAGATCAGTAAAGATATTTAGATTCTGAGACCAAGTAAATACTGCCATGGACGTCTCAGCATCAGGGGTAAAGGGATTAAAAATTGTTTAGTATTTTAATTTAAAAAATGTTACATAATTTAAACCTGTGTTTTACTGAGTCTAAAAGAACTACCCGTCACAATGTAAAGGATATCAAGATACCAAAGACTGTTTGGCAAAACTGGTTGTTGCAGTTGATACCAAATACCTTTATATTTGAATGATTCCTTCCACTCTTTTTAAAATTTTTCCCAGTACATATGAAAAAAAAGGAAAATATTCATCTTTTTCCATCTTTATGTTTACGGGATCTGCTACCAGGGACTTCATCAGGTGTTCCTTCCGTAGTATCCAGTTGAATGAGGACGGCTCTAGGTTCTTTTT